AAAGGGTCTGGTCTCTCCTTTCATGCAGTTTACCCCAGTCTAAGTTTGCTGACTTATTTTATTCTTTTGTGTTACCGTGACACAGAGGGTACGTCTAAACTACATGGCTCCGTCAACGGAGCCATGTAGATGAGTTTACTCGAAAAAGGGAAATGAAGCGGCGATTTAAATAATTGCCACTTCATTTAAATCAAAATGGCCACCAGACTGTGCCAATCAGCTTTTTGTCCGCACCGCGTGGCAGTCTAGACGGGGATCTGCCAACCCCAGAAGCCTTCGTCAGCAGATCCTTTATGCCTCATGAAACGAGGCTTACAAGATCTGCTGATGAAGGGTTCTGGGGTCGGCAGATCCTCGTCTAGACTGCCGCGCTGTGCTGACAAACAGCTGATTGGTACAGTGTGGCAGCCATTTTGATTTAAATGAAGCGGCGATTATTTAAATCGTCGCTTCATTTCCCTTTATCATCCTGCCTTATATACATGGCTCTGTCGATGGGTGTCTAAACTACATGGCTCCAGAGAGTCCCTCAATGAAGATCAGAACTTGTTGTGCTAGGCAGTGCAGAAACCCAATGATAGTCCTGGTCCTAGAAACTTTACAATCTAAATAGACAGAGCAGCCAAAGAATGGAAGAAAAGAATGATAATGAGAAACTGAGCTACAGAGTGATGAAGTTACTTGGACATAGTTGCACTGGCATTCTGTAGCAGGTCTACTTGGGGCTAAAGCCCAAGGGTAGTGGGACTCAGGGGATAGGCCTTCTACGTGGGGCTGAAGTCCTGGGATTTCAGTTCTCCCTGCTCAGGCTTTGCACCCCCTCATCCCCAGGCCACAGGGCTCAGGCTTAAACTTTGGTCCCCCCTTTCTGGAGTCAGAAGGGGGTCGGGGGGGTCACAGTGGAATGAAGTTTGAGAGTCTTTGGATTAGGCTAACTAAAGAAAGCAAGCTCTGGGAGTCTTCTATCGTAAAGTAGATTTTCCATTCCTTGGACCATACTAGTAGCCCTTCTCTGCACCTGTTCCAGTTTGAATTCATCTTTCTTAAACATGGGAGGCCAGAATTGAACACAATATTCCAGATGAGGTATCACCAGTGTCTCATATCACAATACTAATACTTCCCTGTATTTACTGGAAATACCTTGCCTGCTGCATCATAGGACTGCCAGGGCTGGATAAAGGGGGAGGCTAGCCAGGCAGGTGCCCGGGGCGCCAACCTATGGGGGGCGCCTGATGGCAGCTGTAAGGGGCGCCACGCACCCGGGGCTGGGGCCACGCATGTGCCGTGCGCCCGGGGGCTGAGCCGCGCATGCATCCCGCGCCCGCAGCTCAGGGCAGAGGAATGGCTCGAGCCGGCCCTGAGGACTGCATTAATCTTTTTCACAGCCACATCATATTGGTGGGTCATAATCATCCTGTGATCAACCCATTCATCCAAGTCTTTCTCCCTTCTCTGTCACTTCCAATGATAAGACCCCAATTTACACCAAAAATTCTTGTTAATCCCTAACTATACGACTTTGCACTTTTAATTTTTATCCCATTTCTTTTACTCTTGTTTTCAAGGTCCTCCAGATCCTCTTCTATAATATTCTGGTCCTCCTGTATATTAGCGATACCTCCCAATTTTGTATCATCCTCAATTTTTTTTTAGCACAGTCACTCTTTTTATGCCAAGACCACTGATGAAAATGTTAAATAAGATTGTTCCCAAGAAAGATCCCTGAGGAACTCCACTCTCTAGCATGACACATCACCTTTCAGTATGACCAGTTGTTGTCTCCTCTTTAACCAGTTCCTTATCTGCCTTTCAGTCTTCTCCAGTGTAGCTAATAGTTTCCCATGTGGAACTGTATGAAATCATTGAAATCCAGATAGAAAGGATCTCCTGCATTTTCTATATCTAAAAAAATTAATTATCTTCTCAGAGGAGGAGAGGACATTGGTCTGGCACAATCTAGCTTTTGTAAAATCGTATTGTATTTTATCCCAATTCTTGTGTACCTCCACTATGTCCGAAATCTTTGTTCCAAGACCTTGAATGCAATTGAGATAAAAATATTTTTTTCTGGGTCGCTCTTTCCCCCTTTCTTAAAAATAAGAACGGTATTGGCAGTTTAATCACAGTATATGAGCCCCAAGCTTACAGATTTTTAAATAAATCTTTGCTATTGAACTTGCAATTTCATATGTCAGTTCCTTTAATATTCTTGAATGGAGATGATGTAGGCCTCTTATTTCAGTCCCATTAAGCTATTTGAGTTTAACTACCACTTAGCCACCCTTATCATCCCATGATGAGCCATGCCTAGATTATCTTTAATCATCACTCCATTAATAGATTTAGGAGAATGCCAGGTAAATCAATAAAAAACATATATATCTCCTGATGTTTTTTTCTATTTAAGCTAGCTAATGATTGTGTTACCCTTATACACAGATTCTCTCATTACTCCACTCATGGCAAAATCAGCCAAATACTCCTTGACTTTTGTCTGCACCCCCTTTGTATTGGATTGTTATGGACTCTATTTACCCATCTCTCCACCAGACACCCTACTTACATCTATAGCCCTTTATTCAATATAAGCACCAGAGCTCATTTTCATAGCCACACTGTTTCTCCTCTTATAAATACCTCCGCTCCCTCTACTTTCTTCATTAGCTCATTTTGTGTCTGTCCAGGTTATACTTTAAAGCACTGCAGCTGCCTGCCTGCTACTGGAAGGAGGCTACTCTAGCCCTATGGGGCCCATAGCAAGCTCCTAGCCAGCCCCAATCCACAGCACAGTGGGGTGCTCCAACCTGTCTGCAGCGGGTTGGGGGCAGTGCTCCAGCTCAGCTGCCTGACTGCCCCATCTTATATCAGTTTAGATTTATTTTTAGCACCAATACAGAGCTTTACAGGGATTTTTAGAGCTGTTCTCTCTGGTAAGCATAATGCCATTAGTATATTCAGAGAAAAAAATGCCCAGTAAATAGTGTTGCATGCACATAGCTTTTTTTATTTTTTTACACTATATTATGAATCTGAGTAATTGGACAGTGTTGGTCGAGCACTAACTCAGGACTTATGTTTTCTCAGCTCTTTTCTTCCCTAATGTGCATTCTGGGCACCTCAGGATGAAATACTTTGTAACCTGCATGAGTGTCTAGATAGAAGAATTTGAGACCACTGCAGTAAACGAGTATGAAGGCCTTTGGTGAACAAAACTCATATTAACTTGTTAAGTGGAGCACAACTAGAGATTTCCACATGGAGAAGGATAACATGGTGTAGATTAAAAAGTATTGAGGGAATAATAAAAAGTCTAGGATTAAAATTGCTAAACCCCTTTGCTCACAATAAATGTAGAGGCTTCAGTAACCTAAAACTGTAGCATTATGTCTGTGCAATGACTCAAATGTTCAAACTATGAGGACGAACTGTCTCAGCCAAAAAAATGGAAAGAATATAAGAGGAAATCTGTGTTCATCATCTATCTTTTAGGGAACTAACACTATGTAACAAGCATAGTCGGAAGGTTAAATTACTCAAGAGAAATCATGGATCTGGTTGTACAGAAGAGACATGACAACTACAGGTCAGACCTCTCTAGTCTGAAACTCTCTGGCCTCGCAACATTCATGGTCCAGCAGGACCTCAGATGTTGCTGGGCCAGAGAGCTCTGGCAGCTTGGAGTGAGGGCTGGCTGGGAGTCTGATGACATTGTGGTCCGTGGCTGGGAGCAGAGCTGGGGCCAGGAGCACGGCTGGAGCTAGGAGCGTGGCCAAACCTGGGATTCAGGCCAAGGAGTGTGGCTGGACTTGGTGGCCAGGAACATGACTGGGGCCTGTGGCCAGGGTCAGGGCTGGCAGCCAGGGCTGGGGCCAGGGCCAGAAGCACAGCTGGGAGAGGAGCCTGGTGGCCAAGAGGCTGGTGGCCCCCCGGGAGAGCTTAGTGGCCAGCAGCAAGGATCAGAATTGACCTCACTTGGTTTGGCAAACTCCCTTATTCAGGATCAGTTAGGTCCCAAAGGTGCTGGACCAGGAAGGTTCAACCTGTACTTTTTTTATGTCGACTGTGGGTCTGATCATGACAACATGCTGCTGAAGGGCAGTGAACCATGCCCCTGTTACCTTCTTATCTTGGATATGGGATAAAAATCCATCGATCACTACTTCATTCTTCACACCCCTCTTTAAGATTTTCCTTAGCCATGAGATCTGCCGAGCCCAATCTATTGCTGGTGGCTAGACAGACCTGCTATGCCTATTCCACTTGCCCTTCTTTCCTTCTCCTATTCCAAATTCAACGAGACGAAAAATAAGTACAATATATGTAACTAACAAAGCTGTGCCAATCCTTTACTGGATTCATTGCTCTTCATGTTGTATCTCCAGTCCCTATCCTTTGTCTTTGTTAGACGGTAAGCCTTTAATGTTAGGGATTGTCTCTTTTCTGTGTTTGTGTGGCATCCACCACAACAGGGCCTCAAAACTGATTGGGATCTTTGAATGCAACCCTAATATAAATATTTATTATAACTACTACCTCTGTGTTATGTTAAATAGAGGCTGCTGTTAATAATTTTTTGCAGTGTGGAGTGGGGGGTACAAATGATGTTATGGTACCAGAGTTACACTTTGGGTTTTAAGATTGGGAGTTTCAATGGCACATTAGCTACTACTGCTCTTGCTCTGCTACCTCGAGCCACTGAATCCTTCTTTTTACTCTCCCATCCAGCCTACATTTTCATTGAATTTTTTAAAGAGTGCAGAGTTTGCTGAAAAGTAGAAGTAGTAACAGCCAGAGGGTTCTGTCCCCTGTTCTCTTAGAAGTCAATGAGGGTTTTGTCATTGATTTGAATGGGAAGAAGCATCTGCCCATTATGTTGTAATGTTTCATTCTTCCTTGAACTTACTGTGCTTTGAAATATTCTACCAAGTCACCTTAATAAGGATTATGTTGTCAGATGCTATTTCCTATTAACATACAACTTTTCTTTTCTACCCCAGGAGAGAATGCAGACAGTAAATTGGAGTCCTCCAGGCAACAGATGTTAAAGAACCAGTCAGAACATTATGAGATAATAGTTCCCTACATTTTGAATGGAGAACAATGGAAACCAATACAAAGTATTGATTCAGAGGTTAGTTTTTTATTTTGCTAACTATTATAGTACAACATTATGCAGCAACTGGAAGATTTTAAATGAAAACAGATGACTGTGCTTCATCATCACTGTATCATCTTCCCATTTATTATATTTTAATAAAATGTCTGCCAGCAAGACATGATTATTCACCTAATTTGAATTAATTCTTTTTTTAAAGGAGAGATCTTTGAGTGGTTAAAATGAACACTTGCCTGAGTTCAAAGTTATATTTTATTTTTGATAGAAAAATACATTTAAAAAAAAATAGATATTCTGAGAGAAGTTAATGTTAATTGCTTGAACTCTGTTGACAAACTGTGACAAACATTTGTGGGGGTTTTGTTCCTCAGATAGGAATCTTGAGGAAAAGGCATAGGGATGACTTTGGAACAGAAGACTCTTGAAAGGTTGCTTAAGGAAGATTATAGGAAGGTTATAGAAAATATTTAAAAAAAAGACAAGAATGGGTTTAGTAAAAAGTCAGTGTAGGCAACTTACTATATGCTATTTTTATGTACCCGCTCCCTCACTAAGCCTGGGACCATTAACCCTGGAGTAATTTAGAACATTTATGTAGATATTCTGTAACAAGGACTGCTCTCTGTAGCTTACAGTAATATTGCTTGTTAGGGCCCATAAGAAGGGGTTGCACTGAGTCGTGTTGCCCAAGGAGCAGTCAAGGGAAGGAATTCTGACAGTCACTTTGTTCCCTGCTTTCCTGTTTAAGGGACGAAATAATCTACAACTGGCTGTAACCAGTTAGATTGCTTCCTTCTCAAAGGTTGCTCAGATCTGTTGGTCAGTACTATAGAGGAAGGTGGAGACAAGCCACTGTCTATTTCTACTTCACCCACATTTCACCCTCCTATATGGTGGAGGAGAACCAGCCCAACTGAGTTTTCTCTCCCCTCTGGTGATGCAGGTGGACTGCAGAAAGGAATGAGAGGATATTTTATGTCCCCTTTGTCTTCCATCTGGGCATATAGATCAAGTGCCAAACTTGCTATCTAAGGCTATGTCTACACTATTTCCCTCTTTCAAAAGACAGATGTGAATTAGACAGATCAAAATTGTAAATGAAGCTGGGATTTGAATTTCCTGTGCTTCATTTGCATAATGGTGGCTGCGCATTCTTTCGAAAATGGGTGTTTCAAAAGTGAAACCACCATCTAGATGTGGTTCTTTCAAAAAAAAAAACAAACAAACCCTTTTTCGAAAGATCCTGTACTTCTCAAAAAATGAGATTTACAGGATCTTTCAAAAAAGGTGGTTTTTTTTTCAAAAGAACCACGTCTAGATGGTGGTTTCACTTTCGAAATACCCATTTTCGAAAGAACGCATGGCTGCCATTATGCAAATGAAATGCAGGAAATTCAAACCTCAGCCACATTTGCAATTTCAATCTTTCTAATTTACATCCCTCTTTCAAAAGAGGGATGTAGTTTAGACATGCCCTAAATTTCACATGCAAATTTTTGTTTTCTTCCAATTCCCTTTTTGAATTATTCTAAAAGTCATGTATCAAAAATGTGTAAAATGAAACAGAAGCTTAGCCAAAAAAGTAGACCTGTACTGTAATTTAATAACCCTTTACAGCAAAATCATATTAAATTACTGTAAGTGCTCTCCTTTTGAGGGATATTGCTTTTGAGTTATGCTAAGTAGCAATTGACAGAAGTGATGTGAACAGATTTTAAAGTCATGGATGAGACTTATTTTAAAAATTCATATTTAAATTTTGCTTCATATTTTTTCAAATTAAAAGGGAAAAAAGTCATATCTTTTTTTAATTTGAATTTCTGTCCTGATAAGACTATTGTTATCGTGATTCTATAAAAACGTGCAATATTATGATAGAGCTCTGATGGCTTTGTCCTAAATGTATGTGCAAGTCTATTTTTAGAACATTTAATTGGAAACAGACATTCTCCTTGCAGAGTACTTTAGACTGCTGAAACCCACTGTAGTTTTCTGCAAAGGTTACAATGGAATACCTTTTATGTAATGATAATGATTTATATTATTAATTTGTTTCCCAGATTTTCTTGCAGTTTAAGATGAACATTAGAAAAGATTTGTGGTTTGGTAGGGAGATCCATTTGCTGTGTCAGCACTTCTTAAAAAATATTGCTCTTCCATGGAAACTGTTATAAATTAAATACGTAAGTGCAGATCAAACTGTGGGAAGAACAACAATGTTAAACTGGTTGAGGGAGAAAAATTATGAATAGCTTGTCATGTTGTTGATCAAAAGCAGGAAAGTTAAACAATGTGTTGGAAGTTAAATAAGATCTTTTGGTTTCAAAAGAGGTAAAGAACATTTTTGTTTTGTTTTTTACTGAATATTGTGAGAAATAACCAGGGAGTTACACTGTAGTAGAAAATTAGAAAGGTAAACCAGTATTGTGTGTGTAATGCTGGCATATTAGTTACTTGGGTATGTAAATAGATACTTACTTTCCACTGAATTCATCCAGGCAGTAATGTATTTTGATCTCTCAAACTTTAAGGTAGGTTGATCCTGCTTATCACTTGTATGGAAGACTTTTGAATTAAAAACGGAATTGCGTTGGTCATTCAGTAGATTGCATTAGCTCCATCCTCTCAAGGAAAGATTCTCTTCTCAGTTATTCCAGTGCTTGGTGGAGATATTCATGAATTAGAGTGCTGACATCAGAATCTGGTGCTGAATTAATACTGAAGCAGTGTCTGCATGCAAGGGATCAACCATGCAGAATAACAGCAGAACTTGAACGATAGTCAGACTAGATGATCATAATGGTCCCTTCTGACCGTAAAGTCTGTGAGTCTATGAATCTTGATTTAGTGAAATCAGTTATGCTGTTATTGACATTGGGACTATATTTTCAGCAACAAAATATGTCATTGCAGCCTATTTTATATAAATATAAGTAACGCATGACCTTTCAAGGATACTTAACTATATGGGAAGTTCGGGAGGCTGAGGGGGGATTATCTGCCATTTTCAAACAAGAGGGGATTTTAAAAAGTGTGGAGGGGCAAAATTTCAAATCAGGATAATTTGAAATGACCTATAATTCAAAATTAATTCACTGATTTTTTTTCAAACTGTGCAGAAATAAACTAAATGGAAACTGGAACATTTATATGGATATATATATATATATATATATATGCACACCCACAAACTAACATCACTTTATATTTTAAAAAATAAACTAGGTATCTTTGATATAAGTTATATCTTATATTAGACTTATGTCTGTGATTTTGAATATACAGCTCTCTATGTTTGTGATTGTTAGAGAGCTCCAATGCTGTATGCATTGTTGTTGGCGCGGTTTTGGTCCCAGGATATAAGAAAGACAAAATGGGTGAGGCAGTATTTGTTATTAGACCAACTTCTGAAGTTAGTCCAAAAAAAGATTTTACCTTATCCACCTTGTCTCTCTAAAGATTCACAAGACATTTTTGATAAAGCTGTTTGTTAGCCCCACTGTTTTCACTAATCTCCAGTTTGAGTATTTAATGTGGCCCACCGAAATTCCTTTCTTAGTTTTAAGTAGACATAGTATTTAATTTCTTGTACTGCCCTGGGACTCAGTTGTGGAAAAGCTTATTTCCAGGAGTAGTGTCTGCTATTGTGAGTAATTCAGTTATCCTCAGTGGAATTACCGATGAGTAAGGTTGTTCTTGTGTGTATTTACAAAATCAGGCCTCTAAACAGTTGTTAGGCATTGATAAATGCTTTTAAGCAGCTTTTACGTTACGCCCAGATATGGCTGCTTTTTAGTGTGTGACAAAATTGTTCTTATATATGTGTGCAGTAAAGAAGGTGCCGATAGGTATTATATTTTAAGGCTGACTTCCAACTTCCATTCTAACTTCCCCTTTTTAGTTCTTCATAACTTTTCCTATCAAATCCATTTTAGTGCGGACATTTTCCATGCTTGGTCTCACTCCAAAAGGTGTTAGTAAAATCATTTCAGGTGCTTTTGTTTTTATGCAAGTGAAGAAAAAAAAACCCTCTCTTCCCAGTTATTTCAGGCTGAATTTTTCCTTCCAATCTGCTTTGAGACTTAAAAATCATGCCAATTTTGATTAAAGTTGGACCAATAACTTTACCATGCACAGTAGGAATTTTAAAATAAGGTCTCCCTCAGAACTTTTATTTATGCTAAAATTCAACATGTTGCGAATGGGCCTTAATAGAGATGATAATTATCTTACACATTACAAAGACAGCCTTCCCACCTTTTGATATTCGTAGTGACCCCAGATAAGCCACTTAATTGGCTCTCACAGTAAGCAATTTCCTCCTTCCTTGTCCCTTTCCTCTCTGACCCCACCTTCTGTTCTATGCAGCTGATTTGTTAGTTTATAATTTTTTTACCTTCTTTCAGTGTATCCCTCTGTTATATAATGGTCATGCCTATTCACTTGCAGAATATGATCTGAAGAAATGGGTCTGCCCCACGAAAGCTCATCATCTAATAAAACTATTTTGTTAGTCTTTAAAGTGCTACATGACTGCTTGTTTTTGTTTTACAAAAGAGTGTATGGTCTGCTTAGTTTGCATTTAAGCAGTAAATAGAGCCATCCAGCAGGAAGGGAAACTCATTATAGGTGAGTAAAAACCTGCAGGGAACATCCTTCCTCATTAACGTTTTGTCTCCTGGTATCTAGCCAGACATATTTTTCAAAAGGGGGACTGAAACTATAAAAAGGAAGAGTAAACACTGCATGGTACCCTGCCCCTCCTGTTTGTGGCATTTTCTATATCTGAAGCAAGAAAGGAAGCCTTTATTGGTTCTGGGAGAAGAGGTCCAAAGGGTTTGGTCAGTAAGACTGCTGAAATAATATGGTGAGAAATTTTGCCTAAATCTCTTAAAGTTGAAGTTAGGCATCAGTAGTATATTAAGGTTTTCTTATAACCATTTCTGATTTTTATGCCTCACACCCTGTTATGTTTCAAACCCATATTTGCAAATCAGTTGCCGCTTGTGACCCAT